TAAAGAAATTGATATATATGGACAATCCCCTATTCCGCCCCCCACTGCACCTTCTTTTCTAGCCTGTTCTTATATCTCTACCATTTCTGCCTCATCCAAATTTATATCCTCGGCCTTCTGTTCTCTAACTTCAGCTCGAGAAGTTCTCTAACCTCATTTCAACCGATGCTTCAGTGGGTGCTCACTTCTAGTCACTTCTGAGTTTTCATTCATTTCTCGGCTGACTGAACTTTATCCTCTAGAATTTTCTCCAGAAAAGGATTCCACTCTTTATACGTTCAAAATAATTTTCTGGGGGCACCTGGGTGGCCCAGTCAATTAAGCGTCTGCCTTTGGCTCGGGTCATGTTCTCAGGGTCCTGGGATCGAGTCCCGCATCAGGCTCTCTGCGTAGCAGGGAGTCTGCTTCTCCCTCTGCCTGCCGCTCCCCCCACCCCAGCTCGTGCTCTCTCTCTCAAATAAATAGATAAGATATTTTTAAAAAGTAATTTTCTGTTACCTAAATACTTGAGCAACACTTTAGTTGCTAGAAATTGCTCAGGTTACATTTTCTTTCCTTGTGTCCTTCTAAGCATCACCCCCCAGTGGGTGCTGTTGTGGAAAAATCTGCAGGGATCCTGCTGTCTTTTCCCATTGTCAGTGACTTGATCTTCTTGCCCGGCTGCTTAAAATATTTTGTGCTCTATCTCTGAAATCCAGTAACTTTTATTAAGGACATGCCTCTGTGTTCATTATTCTTCGCCATTTTTTCCTGGAATAGGGCTTTGCTTTCCAATCTGAAACTGAGAGCTTCTTTCATTTCAGGATAGGATCTTGAATTTCTCTTCAGATACATTTTCTGTCCCATTACTTTGGTTCTCTTCTTTAGGAGTCCTGTCCTTCCACCCCAACTCGGGGCCCTTGACCACCACAAACATCTGTCCCCTCATTGGAAAAAATAGAGCTCATCCTCCTTGCCTCCCACTTTTGCTTATGTCACATCTCCTTTATGTGTCTTCCATGTCTGTCATTTCTGCCTAATCTGTTTCAATTGTTTATTCATTTTATTAAAATCACTTTTGCTTGATCATTAACTCCATGTACCGCTCTGTGTTCAGTGGTATATCTCTTCTTCTGCTCTCAGTGTTGTCCTCATTGGTCATCTGATTGTATTCTTTTTTACCTTGCTTGGCCCAGTTCTGATGGTTAATACTTTATCTCCTTTGACCTGACCACCTTTTCCCTGAGTTCTTATGTATTTGCTTTTTGCAAGTGCAAAAAAAAAAAAAAAAGACACAGTTACTATGGTTTTTTAAAAAAAATAATGCACATAGGTTTGCACATTCTTTTTAGCCATATGATGATCATATTATCTGGTGAGTATTCTTCACATGCTTTCTCCCTCCGGTATCTTCTCCCTTTTTATTCATACTAATTTGTATAAATCCTGTACTGATTGTTTCTGACTATTGTTCACCTCTGAATTATTCCTGGACCAGGGATAGATAGGATGTTCATTTTGGAGAGTGTCAGGGCTATTTTCAGGCTAGGAGGAATTCTCCTTAGGAGAGGAGTGTGTGTGTTCCAACCTAAAGAGACCAGCAGTTGCAAGACTATCCACCATGCAGTCTGTCTCCGGCTCTAGGAATGGCTTCCTACACATATGGTCTCCTTGTCATTTCCTTGTGAAGCCTTGATTTTCCTGCTTCTACCTGGTGATAGGTTGGGTCCAGAGAATCTTCCCTCTCCAGTTTGAGCATGCATTTCTCTCCTTATCTTCTCTCTCTCTGTAAATAGTTTTCCTATAAATAGTATACTATGCATGCATAAAAATGCACAGATCATACATTTAGAGCTTGATTAGTTTTTAGAGAGTGAACACATCTGTTGAGCCACTACATGGATCAAGAACAAGGATATGAACCTTGATCAATGAACTCTCAGTCCAGTATTTCTGATCCAGCTCAGGCCCTTGACCTCTACAAACATGCGCCTCTTCTTTGGAAAAATGGAAAAAATAGAGAAAGCCCTGTCCTCCTTGCCTCCCACAGCTGTCATGAGCCTCAGGATGACAGAGCGCTTTGTCATTTGGAAAGCACAACATGAATGCCAGCTTTCTAAAAGGCATCGTGGTGGCAAAGATTAATGCTGTCCATACTGTTTTTCCAGTACTGAAAACGAATCACAGAAGGGCAGCTGCTTAGCTTGGGCACACAGGGCAACGCTGATGGCCGAGCTGGGGTCAGAGGCTACAGCTCTAAAGTTGCCTTCTCCGCTCAATCCCCTTGTCTTTGTTTTGAAACTAAACAGAAAGGTAACCACTGTCCTGACTCCCAGCACTACCATTTTCTTCTACTTGAAGTTCATATAAATGGAATCGTGCAGTAGTCCATTGTTCTGATAGACCATAATTCCTCTGTTGATGGCCGTTTGGGCAGTTTTCAACTTTGGGACTAATACAAAGATTTTTGCTAGGAACCTTCTTGACAAAATGTTTTTGGTGAACATAGACACATGTTTCTGTCCGATGCATACCTAGGAGTGGAATTGTTGAATATTAGAATGTGCATATCTTCAGCTTTAGTAGGTACTATCAAAGAGTTTCTCAGAGTTGTTGAACCAACTTAGAAGCTCATCATTAATTTAAGAGTGCTCTTATCACACCACATCCTTGTCAACACTTTGTATTCTCTCTCTGTCATTTAGTCATTCTGGTGGGTGTGTAGAGGTACAGAGTGGTGGTTTTAATTTGCCTTTCCTGGATGGCTGATGAAACTGAGTGCCTGTTCATGTGTTTATTGGCCATCCTTATGTTTAAATGCCCTCACTTGTGAAGTTTCCAAGTTTTTTGCCCATTTTTCTACTGTGCCATTTTAATTTGTCTGTGGGGGGCTTTTGTGTTTTTTACATGTATTCTAGATACAAATCCTATGTTGATCCCATTCATTACAAACATCTCTCCCGTGTATTACAAATATCCCCTCTCACTTTCTTACAGTTGTCCTTTGATAAACAGAAGTTCTTCATTTTAATATAGTATAATTCATTAATTTTTCCCTTTATGGTTAGTACTTTTTGTGTTCTACTTAAAGCTTTGCCTGACCTCATCCCCTTTTCCCTAATGATTAGAAAAGTTTTATGGGAATGTGCTGTCTATAAAGTGCATAACAGTTCACACCACCTTCTTCCTCTCCCTCCCGATGGGGCAGGTGCGTCTCCTAATCCCAAGCACTCCTACCTCATAAATTACCTCCCAGGTCAGCCTTGTCTCATGAACACGTGTCCACACACTGACATCACACTCTCGAAGAGCTCCGGGGTTAAAGTTCATGGAATCAAACATTTAATGAGGTGCAGTCCGTCTTTATGGGACCAACTGGTGGTATGCTCAGAGTTCTCATCTTTTTACCATTCCATGGAGAGGTGAACAGTAATGGGAACATAGGGGCTTTCCTGACCCCAAGTGTGCACTGTTCCACCTGAATCGTCAACTTCTTTAAGGGCACAGAGCAGCTTCGACATACTTGAAAAATGAGCAAGCTCTGTGGGCTTTTGAACTCTTTGTCAAAGCCCCTCCAGCTCTGCTTCCCTTCTTCCCTTTTTCTCTGTTTGTCTCTTCAACTTCGAAATGCTTTTTGACTTGAGACAGCACAGTGCACATCTCTTCTATGCAGATGTTTGAGGTTACTTGGAACGGCAGCCCTCTACACGAAGCAAGGCACACCTTTTGCAAGCTCCACTGTGACTGTCCTGAACAAGGACCCTTGACCCTCACCCGGCCCAAAATGCACCCTCAGGTGCCCCGGCCATGTCCTGGAGGGTGATGTCTTCTTGCTCCAGCCCAGGCCTCTTCCCCATGATTGGGCTTGGCATCCTGGAAGCACTGCATCTTTAAAAGAGCCTTCAGTACATCTGTTCTCAATTTTCAGACCACGAGGCGAGGATTTGGGTGCAAGTAGTTTATCTGGGAAGTGATCCCAGGAAGCACTGTGAGGGGTCAGGGAGGTGGGAGAGGAGAGTGGAGAATCCAAAGTGCACTGAAGGGCAGGCAACCGCAGGGACAGTGGGGCCAACCCACCAGGACCCTCTGAGAGAAGTGAGGAGCTTGTCTCGGAGCCATCCCACCCAGAGAGATGGGCTGTCCAGCTCCCATCCCTGTGGTCAAGGGTCGTTCCATGGTCAGAGGATGGCCTCGGGGCAGAGAGACTGGGGAAGCAACACTGAATGCTCTGAGTCCTGCAGGGGAGACTGAGGCAGCCAGGGAGGATGCTGGCCACGTCTGCCCCAGTTCTTTTCATAAATGGTCCCATCCTGAGCACTTGGTCTACGTGTGGGTTTCCTATTAATACAAATGGGAGTCTGTTTTTAAATGCCTGTCCTTGTTGAAGGGGAATTATTTTAATTGCATATTTGTGCATGTTCAGAAATTCCTTAGGTGAAATACTATAAGAAATTATGCATAAATCAGCTGAGCTAGAAAATGGGTGACCACGGGGAGAGTGAAAAACCTTCTTTAGCCCCTTGAGGTCTCTGAGCCCTTTATCGGCCTTCGGGCTCTGGATTCTAGGCCTACATAACGGCCCCTCCAGCCTCAGCAACAAAGCTGCCTCTTCTGGCAGGCCCTGTCTGAGGAGGCTCTGCCGGGGAGATTCTTTTCCTGTGCACTATGTCTGACCCATGGGTATCTGCCTTGTACCTTCCTACGTTAAACGGAAGGTATGTGTTTGTTAAAGGCGCCCAGCCTGCACCCTGCGTTGAACACCCCCTCAGTAGCTAATGCAGGAATTGCCAAACTTAATCCCCCCCGAGACAAGCACTCTCCTGGGAGTCAATGCAGAGAATTTTGTGGAGTTAAAGTGAACCAGTTGAATGATGCGCTTTTACATCCAGATTCATGACCCTCCTTCTTCCCTTCATATTTCAAATTCCAAATCCAAACCGGTCATTGGGCCCCGCCTTCCGACCCCAGAAGTGACCTGTTTCTGGTGTTCTAGGTAGTTGTGTTCCTTCCCTTGTCAGCAGCATCTGATGTGCGCTGGACTGTGGTGCCTGGTGGAAGGAGATACGTCCTGCAAGACCAAGCTGGACCCTCCCCTGGACGGTACCGAGTGTGGGGCAGACAAGGTAACCCCCGCCTCCCACAGCCCTCCCCCGGCCCCCGTCTCCTGGGCATCGGGCACATCTCTTGAAGGGCAGTGGTCTGCACTGTACTCAGGAGTGCCTGAAGCTCCCCCTGGGCAGCCCCAGAAAGGCCCATGGAGCCCACTCTGGGCAAAAAGGGACACTTCTATCACCTCTCTCCTTTTTTTTTTTTCTGGTAAGATAAAGAATCGCTTAATATTTTTGTTAAATTGACTCTTTTTGTCACACAAGTGAATTTCCTTAAGAAAAACCCTTTTACATCAATAAACCATACATGGGAAAACAGGATCGCTGGCCATATGCAAAAGGCTATCCTAAAACGAGTTCGACGAGAACGGTGTTAGGCGATTCTAGCTCGAGGTTAAGACAATGAGCCCGAGGCCTGATGTTCATTAACAGGAGAGACTGGTATTGGCGAGGAGGGGTGTTCAGGGCCAGCAGCCACAGATTTCTCCTTAGTCTTACTGCAAGGAGTGAACGAGATGCCATGATGAGAAACCACTAAATCACCTCTCGTGGCCCGGAAGTGCCACGCATGTTGGGAAATTCCATCTTCAAGGAGTGGCTTTCTCTTATTCTCAGAGCCAAGGTTCACCCCTGTGGAGCTGGCAGCGTCCTCTCCAAGCACCAAACCCAGCTTCGAAGTGCAAAACCACAGAGCCAGGAAATGCGGCCTTCCAGAGAGACGACGCGCTCGCGTGAAGTAAAGTTGGCCAAAACTCGGGTCTCTTCAAGAGCCATGTGAATTAATCCTTTCTCTGAGAATTTAGAAAACTCCAAGGGAGCCCATTCCATGTGGACTGTGAGGGCAAAATGCAAAGCCCACAGGTGTATAGGTGTCAGGGCGAGTAAGAAAGGACGGGCTCTAGAGTTCCCAAGCATGCCTACCCCCGAAAGGGTCTACTTTTGTGTAAATTACCAAAAGCCACTGGGGATGGCATGGCGTTTTCTCATGTGGGGGGAACCGCAGTGATGTGGTGAGCGAGCAGGTTGGATTACTTGGCGCTGAGCACCCCTGGGGCCCGGGGCCTGCCCTGCTGTGTTTCAGTGGTGCCGCGCAGGGGAGTGTGTGAGCAAGACGCCCATCCCGGAGCACGTGGACGGAGACTGGAGCCCGTGGGGCGCCTGGAGCATGTGCAGCCGGACGTGTGGGACAGGAGCCCGCTTCCGGCAGAGGAAGTGTGACAACCCCCCGTAAGTCCCCCTTGACCAGGCATTCTCCAGGGTGCCCTGATCAGGGTTTCCAAATCGCAGCTCTTACTGCCTGATGCCAAGGAGGGTCTGTGCCCTGAGGAGAATTTGAGCTTAAGGGAAAAAATGAAATCACTCCAAGGACCCGGGGTGCAGGGGTGTCGTGTGCGTCATATGGCATCTCGGCTTTAACAGAGCTCTTGCTGTGAGCGTGGATGCAGTAAGTCCTGTGGTGAGCTGGCTCCTTATCCCTTGTGTGGGCCTGGGTAGAGAGCTTTCGTGAGACAGCTGGGTGACAGTCTCCCTTTGCAGGCTTCCTCAGTCAAGGGTCATTCCAGGGAAGCCTGTGGACCTTCAGGAAGAATGGCTGACCTTCAGATTGGCTGTTAGCTGATCTGGGAGCCGCCTGGCTGTGGATGAGTCACAAAACATCTGGGGGTTCAGCTGTCTTTGTTCATCCAGATATTTTTCACCTTGTGTTCTTAGGAATATTTGGCAGAAAATCATTTTTGGGGGTTTTTTTGTTTGTTTGTTTGTTTGTGTTTTTCTCCTCATTGGTTTCCTTTTATTGACCTTGATGACGACCCCTCTTGTTCTTGGCACATTTGTTCCAGAAAGCTCAGGGCTGGATTTTGTGCTTCATTACGATAATTCCTTTCCCACAGGTTTTTCTCTTCTCCTCTGAGAGTTCCCATTTTTAATATTTCATAGAATAGTCTCTTTTATGTCTTGTGTGCCATCAGCTGTACCACATTAATTTTGAAAATGAATGGGTTATACCTTATGAGCAAAAAGAAAAGCTTTATATCCACAATTAAGTCATGTTGATAAATAAGTAGCAATCCCCTCTTGTGTTTAAAGATTCCGATGCCCAGGCTGTATCCCAGACCAATTAAATCACAAGTTCTGGGGCTGGGACCCGGGAACTGGATGTTTTAAATCTCTACAGGTGAACCCAATGGCCAGCCAAGGCTGAGAACCTCCTGATTAAAGGAAAACTGACCTCACAGATTAGTCAAGGTCAAGAGCACAATTTTCCCCCCAGTAGTGCTGTAAGAATTGGCATCACATACTGTGTCTTGTTAAAACTTTTCCTTCCAGTATTTAGCAGAGTGCCTGAAAAATAATAGGTGGGTTTTTAATCTTTTAGGAATGACTTCTTAATTCAAAGCATAGAGGGTATACTGGGATTCTCTAGAGAAACAATCAAGGAATATATATATATATATATATATATGATTTGCGATGAGAAATCAGCTCATATAATTATGGAGGCTGGAGGGGGGCGGGCGTCCGATGATCTGCCATCTGCAGGCTGGAGACCCAGGGGAGCTGGTGGCGTTGTCACACCCAGGTCTGAAGGTCTGAGAACCAGGGGAGCTGATGGTGTAAATCCCAGTGGGACAGCAAGAGAAGATGCAGAGAGAGGTCCTAGTGGGGGTAGAGGACACATGGGGTGGGGGTGAATTCCTCCTTCTTCTGCCTTTTGTTCTATGGAGGTCTTCAGGGGATTGGATGATGCCCCTTGGGGAGGGCCATCTACGTTACTGCATCCACAGATTCAGATGCCAATCTCATCCGGAAACCCCCTCACAGACACACCCAGAAATAACCCTTAGGTCAGTCAAGTTGACACAGAAAAGTAACCATCACAGATGCGTAGATGGTTAGAAAGCCTGTTTAGCTAAATGGTGAGAAATTAATAGAGGTTTCAGTTTTCTCATAGTTCTGTGAGGAAGTTAAAATAGTTCTACCTCTGGCCCTGAGAAGAGAGCTCTGTGGGGCGCCTGGGTGGCTCAGTCGGTTGAGCATCTGCCTTTGGCTCAGGTCATGATCCTGGGGTCCTGGGATCGAGCCCTGAGTCAGGCTTCCTGCCCAGTGGGAAGCCTGCTTCCCTCTCCCCCCACAACCCTGCTCCTATGCTCTCTCTCGCTCTTGCTCTTGCTCTTCTCTCTCTCTCTCTCAATAAATAAAATCTTAAAAAAAAGAAGAAGAAAAACAAGAGAGCTCTGGGTTTGGAATCAGGATGCTGAGATTTGGGCCTGGCTTCATTGTTGGCCATGTGACCTCAGGGAAGCCCCTTCTCCTCTCTGGGCCTCAGTTCCGCCATTAGAGGGAGCGGGTGGGGTGTAGTGAGGAAAGCTGGCGTTCGAAGCAGGAACAGACAAGGGTTCAAGTCCCAGAGCCACTCCTTATAGCAGCTGATGGCCTGTACGTGTGTCTCCATCTGAAGTTGGAATAATTCATGGGAATGCATATAAAGTAATGGTCTATATTGAGTACATGGCCCCTCTCCATCTTAGCACTAACAGAGAATGGAGATGAGACTGTGTGCCCTGTCCCCTGACATACAGGACTGTGTGAGGCTTGGAGGAAGGTGATTTATGTGGAAAGACTTTGTTCAGAGCAGGGTACAATTTGCAAGAGTTGTAGCTGTCCTGGTGCCTCATGTTTGCATCCAGAGTTCTTATACCCTGGCAAAGGACCAGTCTCCCTCAGCACATCATTCCATATCAGGTGTCACCCAGGAACGTCATAGTAGGGGCCTATCAGAACCTTTAAATGCCCAGAAAGACCCTGTGCCCCGAGACAGTGGACAATTGGATTGTATTTAGGTGAGGACAACCCATATAAAAAGATGCCATCAATGCTGAGCAGATGCATTAGGCGCAACTTTTAAGGGCCCTGACTCTGTTTTCTTGGTATGACGTTGGCTAAGGCATCCCCCATACCTTGGCTGTACCCATTGTTCCCATCCCAGCTGCTTTCTGCCCTGCCTACTCCTAAAGAACCCCTAGTTCAGAAAGCTGAGTTAGCATGCCCTCCCCGACCTGCCTGGCCCGCTGTGGGATTTCATGGGCTGGGTCTTCACCCCATTCCTCCAGGCCCAGTGGCCTCAAGAGAGAGGCTGTACCAGAAACCCCAAAGTTTTTGTAAAAATCTTCCATTCCTCTTCTTTATCAGGTACCCCCCCCATCCTACCTGGTGGTAGTCATGAGCTTTATCTCTCTTTGCCCCTCTTCCTCTGTCTTATCATTGAGGAATGGGGGATTTTGCCAGGCCTCTGCAAACAGGCTGCCAAGGGGTATGTGGGTCTCAGCACGTCAGATGGTTATGGGCCCTGACACATCCCTGGAGAGAGAGGTCTTTATGTCTGATCTCTGTCATCCAACAACATCCCATGGGGCAGGCAATGGTAGAAGGACCAGAAAGAGCCTGCTGATGTTCTCATGCCTCCTGGCTCCCATGCCCCTTCTCCTCAGTCATGGCTTTCTAGCATGATACCTTCAGTACACCTCGACAGGGCTCTGACTCTGGGCCAAGATCTCTGCTAGGTCTAGGTTTATAGTGACAAGCAAAAACAGATAAAGTCCTTGCCCACTCTCAATGTGCACAGTTCTGCCAACTTCCGTTGGTCTTCTGGACGCCTCCAACCCGACTCTTCCCAGACTGTGATCTCTCCTCCCAGCGCACATCTCCACTCCGCATTGACAGCACCATCCTCCATCACCTCGCTCCAGTCCAAAGCTCCTGAGTCCGTGAATGGTCCCCTTGTCCCTCTCTTCCTCCTCCACGTGCTCTTGTGATGAGAATGGCGAATGCAGCGAGCCTGCACCATGTGCCGGGTTCCCTTTTCGGCATTTACATGCAGTAAAGCACTGAATGCTGCCCTACAGGACAGGTACTCTTTTTCGCCCCACTGGTTAGAAACTGAGCCGTGGAGAGGTTCGGTAACGTGCCCACGGTCACGTAGCTGGTGTAGAGCCCAGCGGCAAGGTGCCATTGTTCTCTCAGACCTTCTGCAGTGGCCTCCCTGCTTCCTGCACGCTCCCTGCCCTCCGGATTCATTCTCCACACAGAGCCAGAGAGATCCACTTAAGCAAAATTCCAGTTCTCTCTCTTCCTGCCACAGCCCTTTCCATCGTTCCCCGCTGCACTTAGAATAAAGTCCATACTCTTGACCATGGCCTCTGTATTCGTTTCCTGGGGCTGCCATCATAAATTACCACAACTTGGTGTCTTGAAACAGCAATTTATCCTCTCTGCGTTGTAAAAACCAGAAGTCTGAAATCAGGGTGTTGGCAGGGTTGATTCCTTCTTGAACCGGAAGGAGGATTCATCCCACCCATGCCTCCCCCGACCTTCTGGTGTCTGCTGGCGCCCTCTGGTATGCTTTGCCTTTGTAGACTTGGCTCTGTCTTCACGTGGCCTTCTCTCGTCTTCTGAGGACACCTGTCACTGGATTTAGGGCCCACCCCAAGTCAGGATGATCTCCTCTCCTACTTAAGAGATCCTCAATTATATCTACCAAGACCCTTTTTCCAAGAAGGTTCTAGGTGGGCGTATCTTGGAGGGGAAGGGGCCACCATTCAGCCCACTGCAGCTGTCTTTCTGTCCTCAGACACAGCACTCCAAGCTCCGGACCTTTGTCAGTATTGCGTTCCCTCTCCCCAGCTTGCCTGTGCCCCTCCTTGGGCCTCTAAGGAAATGTCTTCTCAGGCCTCCTTCCTGACCACCTTGCACGAGGCAGGGTGCCTGCTTTACAGTCCCTCTCAGTGCCCTTTTCCCACATTACAGGTAGGATAACAATTTGTAATTACCCTTTCGTCCTTGGTCGCTTGTTTTCACCCTGTCCTCCCCACCCCGTACTGGTCTTTGAGCTCCATGAGGGCCACCCCGGGCGGGGCACCATTGTCCTTTCCATGCTTCTAGCCGAAGAGCCCTACCTCACTACCTGGAGGCATGCTTGCTGAGAAAGAGCAGTCTCTGTTTTGCCAGTGCCCCCAGAACACACCCTTAATACTGTTTTTCCCCCTGAAACATGAAGGTTATTGTAAATTATTAGGCCAAGAAGGCAGATGACCAGCAGCCACCCTTTCTTGTACTGTCTCACCTCACGGAAGCCCAGGTGCTGTGGACAGGCCTGAGTCGGGGCTCAGGTTCCCCTGCATATGAGAGTCCCCTTCCCCCCGCCCCGCCCCGTGCCTGCTCTGCCTCCAGGG